GTTTAAATGATACTGAGATAGCCTGTTTTTTGTCCTCGCTCTCCTTCTTCAAAGAGGGGGGAAGAGAGAAAGGGTGTTTGCTCTTTTAATTTTTGCAGATCATCTTGCTTTATCTTCTTTGTGGTGCATAAGTTTCATTGTAAAAATAAACCTTATACAACTCAGACCCCAAACCACATAATAGACAACTCCAAGAAAAGAGGCACCAATAAATCGTAATATTATCTTTATGACAAATAACCAGATAGTAACCAGGAGAAACCAATTTGATGATTTAGTGTAAGTTGCAGCAAAATGTTCCCAGTGGTGGATGTAGACTTTGAGCCTGAAGAGGAGCGGGGGGGCTCAGAGTTTGTGTGTGTTTACCTGCTGCAGGCTTTTCTTCCCTCTTTATTTATTCTTTTACCCAAAATAAGGGGGTACTGTTGTAAAGTATGGATTTTAAGACTTCAAACTCCTTTTCTTTCCAATTGAATATACCTATTAACATTTTTTCTTCGTTTGTATTTTGATCAGGGATGGAGCAAAAAGAAGGAAAACCCATCCGTATATACGTACTCAGGCAAAGCTTTCGGTCTTTATTTCACCCCCCGAAACCCACCTAGTAGGGGAGGCCTGGGATTCTCATACCCAGTTTTTCGCGTCTGTACTTGGAACGACTCGGAGAAGAAGACCACGAACGACTCGACCGTTCTATCCTCGTTCTTACCCTAAGAATAATACCAAATGAAATTAGCTCTTAGAGAGATGTACATAACATCAGTGAGGTCCTTTTCTGTTCTTCGGTTCTCATCAGCACTACTTGCGCAGAAAAATCCGGGTAAGCTTTTATTTGTGCCCTAGAATTCCAATGGAAACCATCAAGTTAAAGAACACTGGATCACTACCCGCCCGTGGCCTTGAGACATAGAAAAGCAAACCAGATAAGGTCACCAGTGCCGTGGAAGTGGCGATAAAAGCTGGATACAGATACATCGACAGCGCTGCAGTTTATGGCTTTGAAAAGGAGGTCGGACGGGCTTTGAGGGCTTGTATCGGAAAAACGGTAAGGAATAATTTTAGTGTGCTCTCAGTGAGTCTCAGGAGAAGGGCGTAAAAGCGGACCGGGAAAGTGAAAAACTTCTTACAAAATCTGCTAAAAATTTTCGAAATTTTGACTTTTTTCCAATTATTTTGAGAAAGAACGTTACGACTGAAAGAGTGTCTTTGGGTAAACGGTACGGATTAGCGGAAGGTGCTTAATCACTTTCATATAATTTGATAGGCCTCCACCAGAGTGGTGACGTTTTTTACCAGTGTTCGCCCGATATCGGTTTTCTTTGTTTTTTTTTACATCGCTTCTTGCACCGCACTAAAGGAAAACATTTTTGTCGCATCACTTAAAACGCTCAGAAATAAGATTCTTCCTGAAATGGTCAAAAAGAGATAAGGGAGCAACTTCAGAATACCCATCCACCTCATTTACATGTGTCAGGAGGCTTTGAAGCGGAATGAGGCTTAACACAATAGATGCTATTCTTATTTAATGACATGTAAATGAGTGACCGGGTATTCTGAAGTTTAGCCGAAATAAGTCGACTTAAGTAAAATTTACTCATGTTTACTGCTTCCCTGACAGTTCACTGGTGCATTCCAATATTCCTGGGTTCAGAACGGTACCCTGAGGGAAGATTGTCTAGCCTGAAAACCCAATATGAAGATGCAGCTAGATCTTGAAGCCAGACTTCTCAAACTAAACCTCAGTATGCCAACTTTTAGGTCGCTAGATCCCCTTGAGAAAAGACTGGGATTAATTTTTTTCCTTGTTTTGTAGGTGAACAGGGAAGGTTTGCTCATCACTTCTAAGCTATGGAACACAAAGCACAACCATGGCGATGTGCTTTCTGCTGCAGAACAAACTCTTAGTGACTTAGGACTCAATTTTCTGGATTTGTATCTAATGCACTGGCCTGTATTGTTTGAGGATGGGGACATAAATTTTCCAAAGGATGGTGATGGAAATATCATCTATGCAGATCATGATCCATGTGATACTTGGAAAGCGATGGAATCACTTGTGGATCATGGACTTGTTAAAGCAGTTGGTAAAAATTTATTTCATGGATTCCTAACAGACATATGTAAACCTGGAAATATCAGAAATATATGGCCATTTGACCAAGTTGTACCTCTTAAGCCTATGTATAACTGTACCCTCTCCCCCCCCCCCCTGAGGAGAATGGGAATGTTCCCTCCCTTTTGTTTCTCCTTGGGGGAGGAGGGTGTAGGGTGTGGCTACACATAGGTTTGGAACTCTTGACCGGTCGCCTTGATTACAAACCATTGGGCCAACGTTTTTTCCTTGATGGAGCTTAAATAAAATTTAAATTGTTTCCCTTCTTTGTCAGTCTGCCAGTTTCTTTATATGTACATTTTTTATTTCCTTTAAGTTTGTTAAATTTTAACAGCAAACAAGTGGATGATATCCTATCTAACTGCAGAATAAAACCTGCTGTTCTACAGGTGGAATGTCATCCTTCAATCAAGCTCAGCTTATAGAACATTGCAGGAATAGGGATATTGTTGGTGTGTTTGAATATTGAACACTTAACAACTGTTCCCAAGAAAAACAGTTTCTTTTGTTTTTCAAGGCAGAGTATCCAAAACATCAAAGAAAGCAACAAGGAAACAACCTAAAAAATTCATTTAAATATTATGTGTACTTGCCCATTAGTGTGCAAGGTAACTCTTGTTCCTGAGGGCAACAGTTGTTCACATGTAACAGCAGTATGTTGTAGGTCAATATTTATGAGTTACAGTACACTGTTACCTCTGAGATAGAATAAATATATGAAAATCATATATTTTGAACTGCGGTATTTGATACGTATGATGGACGATCCTCGCAGTAGATAGCGCTATTTGAGCAATAGCGAAATTCAGACCTGAAAAAAATCAGGCCTGATTTTTTTCAGGTCTGAATTTCGCTATTGCTCAAATAGCGCTATCTACTGCGAGGATCGTCCATCATACGTATCAAATACCGCAGTTCAAAATATATGATTTTCATATATTTATTCTATCTCATTTATCACTTTCACGGGTTCATTACGAATCAACTTAACGGCCTGCTCTCAGTTGGCTTGTTAGCTCAATTGGTTAGAGCGCTGCACTAGTATCGCAGAGGTCAGTGGTTCGAGTCCCGTACAGGCCTGATTTTTTTCAGGTCTGAATTTCGCTATTGCTCAAATAGCGCTATCTACTGCGAGGATCGTCCATCATACGTACTGTTACCTCTGTTGTCTTAGATTTTCCAAGAAATGTGTGACTGGAAAAAATTGTCACTGCTGGATGTTAGGTTACCCCCAATAAACCAATGGGAGCATGTGTTGCTAGCTATATAAACTATATACTAATTATTAACATAGCTCTTTCGCATTACAAAGCTTTGCTTCTATGTTCAAATCGAGCACTCTACTAGGATGAGTCATGTCGTGCAATTGTGCAAAGCTCACTAGTTTCTAGTTTGAGCACTCTGGCATGGCTTAAATGGTACCACAGATGTGGAATCATTTGGGGTGGCTTTATAGCTTCACCCCCATCGTAGAAGTAACACTGCACTGATGAGGCCGAGAAGGCCGAAACAGTACTGTCTGCAGTTATATATAACAATTATTCGCCGAAGGCGAGGTGAATGTCGTCGAATAACCCCTGAGACGAAGTCGAGGGGATTATTCAACGATATTCACCGAACCTGAGGCGAATAATTGTTTTAGTATAATTTCAGAGCTGAACAACAAAGAAATTTCTAAAATCATAACATTTTAGTAACATTTATTAACATTTTAGTTATATAAACCACGCGGAGCGGTTTAGACAGCGTCATATAAGGAACCGCCCGACCAATCAGATTGCTGGAAACTCTTTGTTCAACTCTGAAATTATACTAATATATATTATGATTAAATCACTACCCTACAATTTGCAATTTCTCCCTACTCATACTTTCTGTTTGTAGATTAGAATTTATTTCAGTTGATTTACTCATTTATTACTTTTTTGTCAACACAGTGACAGCATACAGTCCACTCGGATCCCCTGGCCACCTTACAGGCCAAACAGGAAGACTTGAGTCTATTACATGATCCTAAAATGGAAGAAATTGCCATTAAATATGGCAAGTCTCCTGCTCAAGTCCGTATTCGCTTTCAGATACAGAGGGGTGTCTCTGTTATACCTAAAAGTGTTACACCTGCACACATTCAAAGAAACTTTGAAGTAAGCTTGCAATATATCACGTTAATAAGGGCCATTTTTGCGCCTGCATTTGTTCATTCTACTTAGTTCTACATACACGATGAGATTTGCCTTTCTGCTTCTCTTGTTCTGCTTCTCCTGTTTAACATTAGATAGCTCAGTTGATACAGCATGTATCTTGATGAAAGGTTCACTCGTAGATCATTCTCTCTTATGGTTCGCGGACCGACCCGTTCCGAAAACGCTCGACATGTTTCATTGTGGGTCTACCGTGAACGCAGTGTACATATCTTGTATGCGTTCTGAGCGTATTATAGCACAGCAGAGTAACTGCTGATTTTGCACTGAATAAACTTCTCTTCTTCCGCCTTTACATCATGCCATATGCTTATCAGTCAAAACGTCACCCATGCGTCAGAGTGAAAACGTGGCGCATGCGTGTTAAGGACTTCACTACGATTTACGACTGAACGAAAACAAAGAACGAAGCCGAAATTTCAACTCGGGCGTCTCATTTGGAAAGCCCGAGTAACAAACTGTGGTGCTGCGTCGGTGGGAGGTATTATTAGATAAGTTGGTTTTATCAACTGACCTAGCGACGAAAATTAGCTGTTAGAGCGAATGACGAAGGACTGGAAACTTTACAACGGCCAATTTTCATTAAACTTAGTCGATCAAACCAAATGCTATTGCGACTCATAATAAGTTTGATTTGACAAGTATCTCAATCCTCATTGCGCTTTATTAAGCCAAGGGAGAGGAGCTTTCGGCGGAGATTCTAATCTTCCTTATTTTTATTGGCACTTCTTTTACAGCATACACGACACAGGCAGCGACATGCCAAACTCATCACCATCACAACTAACATTACTATAGCTACAAGGAAAGCTATGACGTCAAGTAAGTAGTACTGGTACCAGGGGATGTTAAACACTTGAGCTCTGAGGTGTTGGGCTCCACCATGTCTGTGTACATACTCTATCCAGTCGCCAGCTTTCTCCAGGGGAGTTCGTGGACTGTCTTTCATTAGACGAGAAATGCGCATAGATGTTTCCTTGAATCTGGAATTAAATATTTCGAAAATTACTGGAAGGATTGAGTAAAGCACTCAAGATGTACCTCTCGAGGTTCGAGAAAGCACGAGGGTCATCTATTTCATCGAGCGAGAAATGCGTTCGGCTTGTTTCTTGAATCCCAAAGAGACGTGATTTAAAATATTTAAAATAACAACAGCTATAAAGACTTTGAGTGACTTTGCTACCATTTCTACGCGGCAATGAATTTGGTAGTACTGGTAAGGATCGATATGTTCTAGGCTGCTACAAGTTGATAATTTGCTTGTAGGTGCGATGCATGAACAATTTAAGAGATTGTGACTTTGGGTTTTACAGGAAGTACGAAGTTGTTCGTTGCTGTTGTCGCTGTAAATCGTTTTTTTAAAGCTAGCGTCCAAACCTTTAATCTCATCCAGATACATAAATTACTATGAAATGGCAATTCAAACGAGTGAGGCAACGCTATCAATCAGAATTAACTTGTATCAAGCTATCAACGAAGGAGAATGGCGGTGCGACCGCCTATTACAGGTTCTACAGACTGTAAGGGTGATTTAAGACACGATAAAAAAAACCGCCATTTTATGCTATAAGTGACCATTAAATATACAAAATCTCGCTAAAAAATACTATTAACTTTGATTTCGAGAGAGAAACATGGGTTAAATTTTTATTGAAGTATCATTCTTGGTTTGATTTGAGTGGTTTCGCTTTAAATGACAGTTTAATACAGCTAGAAGACAATACAATCAAGCAGTTGCAACTCAGTCAAGGGCGATAACGGCCGCTCAATATAGGTCAAAGTAAAAGTGGTTAAAGGGAAGCAAATTCGGGACTTTGACAACCGACCGGTTGAAATAGCTATTGCTATACCTTGGTTCGTTCATCACAAGCTGTATAGCCTCAAAGAGTTCTTTGGCACTCATAGTTTGATGATCCAAAACCGTCGCTATTCCAAAGTATTCTGCTTTCCTTGCATTAGAAAATTGGTCCATAAACAATGGAATAGCCACCACAGGAACCCCATGGTATGCCGATTCATAGAAGCTGTTTATTCCAGTGTGAGATACAAAAGCTTTGATATCCTTGTGAGCCAAGAGATCGTTCTGTGGTATCCACTTCATTACTTTGATATTTGGACTTAAAGATGATGGAATATAGCCTGAAAAAGGAATGTCAAAGCTAATATCAGTAGAGCAATTGACAATGGAATGTCGAAACTCAACTGAAACTGTTCTAAGCAGACCTTACGTTAAGCCCGTGGACACCCTCAGCTAAGTTGACACCAAATGTACAGTTTTAAAATCAAGGCGAGCTCAGTTTACAGGAGTTAATACAGCGTCATAGACTAAGATGCGTAGGAAAGGAATACCGCACCACGAACTAGAAAACGCAAGTGGCACCTTCTTTGTCTTCAGCAATTTTTGCAAGTAACTATTGTTTAGCGATCCGCCATTCTAGAGTGCAACAACGTTTTGGGTAAAAGTGAGAAATTAACTCGATCACTTTCCCAATGAGTGACAACTTCGCCAACAACTGAGGTTCCGTGTTTTGATGTTACCTTTAAGTTTCCAGATGACTTTCTGCTTCAATTTTCCAAAGGCCGCTGCCAAAACATCGATCGTCCTTTTAGAAATAATCGTTTGTGCATACGATCCAAAAGAGGCAATGATAAACCCGTGTGCCCCGGAACTGTTAATAAAATCCGCCAAATCAGGGGGGAGTGGATTGGGTTTAGATTCTGCAGCGATGGGACCCAACATGATTTGACCTGCAGGAAAATAACAAGGGATAAGGACACAGAGCTCCTACTGGCCACTAGGAATAGAACTCTTGACCCTTGACTCTACATAAAACGACTGACCTCGGGAAAGCTGGTTTATCATACAAACGACGCTTTCACGACATTTTTGCAAGAAACAAACCGAGCAGAATGACCTAACTTTGGAACTGACCAATCACGACCAACTTACGCCTATATGGGTGATACAATCAATAACATTTCCGCTAAACTGACCAATCAGTTTTCACTAACCAGACTTCTAGCACTCGACTAACTCCAATCATGACTTTCCGCTCAGGTTGTCGAAACGTCATTCACTACAACCGACGACAGCTCTCAGTTCTCAGGACTAATATCACCCGAACGATAAGTCTACAAGTTCAACTGTCTCTCCTGGGTTCAAAAATAATGTATAACAATCTTAGGTTTACGTGATGAGTACTGTTAAACAAACCTGGAAGAAGAGGTTGAGGACACTCAATTGCAAAATCACCGTTGAAAAGCACGAGCTCAGCGCTGGCAACAGCCTCACGGAAGCTTACATCGGGAGTAATGTTGTATTTTTCCTTCAAAGAGCTATAGGATCTGACAGACAAAGTTTCCAATACAAACTGAAAAATGTTGACCATACAAAAGTTAATCACACGCTGAGGAAATGACATTTCACAGGAAAACGGTAACAGACGCGAAGGAACATATGAAACAGGGAATGGCACCATGTACAGAGAATTATCTAGATTGCTCGGAGGATTAGAATTAATGACCACTTCTGGAATGTCGAAGAGTTCAGCCACCAGAGGGGCACAAGGTGCAAAACTTTCGTATACAATCAAATCAAAATCCTTTATTTCATAAAGCAGCTCCGTGTCATTCAGCAATGACTCACACACGACTTCCATTAGGTCGATAATGTTGATTATCCCCTTCCACATGCTCTCTCCAATAGACGTTTTTATCACGAATGTCTCGCCATCCTTTTCGTTGAATGGTATTTTGAACGTCCTGTGGTGAACCTTGTCCCCAGTGCTCGGTGACTCGTCGCGATAAGCGGGTTTAAGAAGTACTACCTGCAGCAGTAAGGAATTCACAAAAGAGCATTAGCTTTGATGTTTGTGCGCAAACACTACCTGTTCCGAGAAGCGCGGAACAATTTTCTGAGAAAGAAGGTTAGGCAAACTAAAAGCTTCTTATTATGGAGGCTGAAAGTCAAAAAATGACCCCTTTGCTCGAGACTGAAAAATTGGTCCAGCTCCTGCGCAGTTTGAATGAGCGGGCTCTGGGGCTGAACAAAGTAGACAAAAAAAATGGCGGCTGAAATGCGCAATCGTCCCGTGGAAGGTTTTGATCTCGGAATAAAAAGCCACATTCGTCTGAAAGCCGAGAAGATACGTCCCAAAAAACCGGAAAAAGTTGATCAGGAGAAAATGTATCCAATTGAGGTAAGTGCGGAGATTGCTTTGTTGATAAATTTCCTCGTAACGTAATACATGCGGTATAAAACCACTTCTTTTGAATAATTTTAACTTCTTCCGAAAGAAATAAGTTCATTAAGAGATAAAAGAATTTACAAATTTCATAGTTTTCAGTTTATCATGAAATGATAGCAAAGTCGACCGTAGCTAGTGAGAGTTATTTGGCCCATCTTTCTTGCCGCTATGTAAATAAATATTACAGTACTAATATTTAGCAAGTTAACCTAAAAGGGAATTTTCCTCGCCTCAAATACTCATGGTTTAACTGGGATCCTTCTGAAAAAATGTTAAATAATTTTATTTCAGGAACTTTTTGTCCGTGAGCATTTCAAGTAAGTACTAAAAATTANAAAGTAGACAAAAAAAATGGCGGCTGAAAAGCTCACTCGTCCCGTGGAAGGTTTTTATCTCGGAATAAAAAGCCACATTCGTCTCAAAGCCGAGAAGATACGTCCCAAAAAACCGGAAAAAGTTGATCAGGAGAAAATGTATCCAATTGAGGTAAGTGCGGAGATTGCTTTGTTGATAAATTTCCTCGTAACGTAATACATGCGGTATAAAACCACACTTCTTTTGAATAATTTTAACTTCTTCCGAAGGAAATAAGTTCAGTAAGAGATAAAGGAATTTACAAATTTAATAGTTTTCAGTTTAACATGAAATGATAGCATAGTCGACCGTAGCTAGTGAGAGTTATTTGGCCCATCTTTCTTGCCGCTATGTAAATAAATATTACAGTACTGATATTTAGCAAGTTAACCTAAAAGGGAATTTTCGTCGCCTCAAATACTCATGGTTTTACTGGGATCCTTCTGAAAAAATGTTAAATAATTTTTATTTCAGGAACTTTTTTGCCGTGAGCATTTCAAGTAAGTACTAAAAATTACCGTAAGTTATATTGTCAAAGTGAATCATAATAGTCCTAAGATATGGATAATGATTATTTTCTTTGCAAATTGTTGACGGAGACAAAGTAGAAAATAAAGTGAAAATTCACTTGATTGGATATTCAAGTGATTTTGATGAATGGAGAGATGGAGATGACTTAGTTGACAAAGACAAAAGTAGTCTTGGTCGCTTCGTACCGCGATTCATACCGAGTGAGGATTCCTTGTCTGACAGGGCTTCAGCTTTATTTAACCGCCTCGGCCGCGAAATAAAGTTTAGTCTATTTTCAACCAAAAGGGAGTCACCGGAGGTTCGAATTGAGATGCAGATTGACATGGATATCTATAAAACATATTTACAAAATATTGGATTTGTAAAAAAGTCAAGAGGATGGGAAGTACATTGTATTGATGATAACTCTCATTTATGCGATCTACTTGATAGTAAGTGGTTTGAGAGAATTCAAAATGAAAATGGAGACTTTTGTTATGTCATTCCTGTAACTGTAAGATTTTGGCTTCATGAAAGAAAGCCTGTGAGAGAGTTTGTTTATGTCGGCGATACTCTTGTAGAAAGCCACACTGAGAGTGACTTGCAAGTCATTTTTACATTTGTTCATGGGGATGGTGTGAAGGCTGAATACAACAGTAATGAGTGGAAATCGCCCCCATCCTAACAGTAGTAGTAGTAACAATGTTTCTGACAGTATCAAACATGTAATGCATTAATGTTGACCAAAGAGGATGAGTTGTTGCCCATTGCTAACAATAATCCCTATTCCTCACCC